TTTTTTTTTTTTAAATCTGTTGGCCTTTCCTTCTCTTATTTATTTTTTTTTTAATTTGGGTTCCCTATTTTTAAGGAAATAGCCCGAGCAATGGGATCGCATGGGAAATCAGACTGTATTTATTTTTAATGCAAATGCACATAAATGATTCTCCGGCTTTCTAAGAACCGGCAGCTCAGCTGCACTTAGTGCATTCAGCCTTTTCATTTTTGCTCATTCGATCTAAAATGAAGRTAAACAATTCTACTTCCCTAGCAGTCAATACCAAATAAAGGAAAAAAAAACCAAACCTCAACCAACTCACACAACTTTTAATTAAAAGTAAAATAATATTAATAATAATAACAACAACAACAACTCGGCCCGCGCTAGGCGTAGGGAGATGTGAGGGCTTTGTGCGTTTGGCAAAACCCTTGCGTTTTCCCTGCGCCAGGATAGAACGTTTATTTCTCCGTCTTCAATTTTTTTTTTTTTTTTCAATTAGGGATTTCGTGTTGATGGGGAAGCCCCTGCCGTGCGGGGTTCGGAAGTGGAAATAGCTATGTGTGCGTGGAAAGGGGAAAGGAGGAAAAGAGTGAGGAAAGGCGAAGAGGGAGAGGAAATATTTTTCCTGCGGTATCGGCGGAGCTGTCCTCCCCGCAGGCAGCCCGGTGCAGYCGAGAGGCAACAAGACAAATTTTCCTAATTTTGCCCAATTGAGCTATTTTCGTCAGGCTCAGAGCGGCGCGGTGCCCGCGAGTGCAGCTCATTTTGCTCTTTTAGCATTAGCATACGAGTGCCCAAACCAGATGTACAGTCTGGTCTGGCCATTTTTGTGTGCACCAACCTCCCCAGTGGGTCAATTAGGGAGATTATTGTTCTTCCTGCGGGGAAGATCAAGGAGCGCCACAAACTGGGGCCCGAGTGGAGCCGGATTGACAGATCGATTTCCCGGCGTTTCGGGCCGGGGGGAGAGGGCGAGAAAATAACGAAAGCCCTGTAGTTGGGAAACGGAGAGCGAGAATCCCGCTGTTTCCCGGACGGGCTCGCTGCCACCGCCCCCCGCCATACTTGACCGTTCCCCCCGTGCCCCGGAGAAGCCCCCGGGGAGGGGGCGGCGAGGCCCGGTAACCGCGGCGGGGCGGGGCGGGGGCCGAGCCGGTGTCCCGCCGGCCCTCACCGCTCTTCGGCTCACTCGCAGGGACAAAGGAGGAGGGCGATCGGGAGATCAGCAGCAGCCGGGACAGCCCGCCGGTGAGGGCCAAGAAGCCTCGGAAGGCACGGACAGCGTTCTCCGACCACCAGCTCAACCAGCTGGAGCGCAGCTTCGAGCGGCAGAAGTACCTGAGCGTGCAGGACCGCATGGACTTGGCCGCCGCCCTCAACCTCACCGACACGCAGGTCAAAACCTGGTACCAGAACCGGAGGTAAGGCGGGTCCCGGCAGGGCGGCGGCCCTGGGTCTCCCGGGAGAGCCGGAGGGCGGGCTTGCGCCGCTGGGTTCCTGTCCGCGGGAGCCCGGGGTGCTGCGGGGAGCTCCCGACTGCTGCCCCGCGCCCTCCCCGGCGGTGGGCTGGGAGGTCCGGCCCCTGTCAATGCTGCCGTGATTTTCTGTCTCATTACATACGGTTGCAGCCACCCTAATTCTGTCGCAAACCATTAGTGTCAGTGCGTTGGGATCTAACCGTGTACCGCGGTTATTAATTTGGCCGGAGTCGCCGTATACATATGTCGGGGGGTGCGGGGCTCAGAGGGGAAACCGGGTAGTGCCGGGAGGATCGCACCGTGTGCGGGCCCACGGGGCAAGTGCGCCCCGTCGGGGCCGCGTGCTGCGGGGCCAACAGGGGATGGGCTCGCCGCCCGCGGAGCCCCGCGAAAGCGGTCTGGGTGCCCCATCGCGTAGCCCGCCCTGCAGCCGCCTCTTGCTCTCCCCGGCAGGACGAAGTGGAAGCGACAGACGGCGGTGGGCCTGGAGCTGCTGGCCGAGGCCGGGAACTACTCAGCGCTGCAGCGGATGTTCCCTTCGCCCTATTTCTATCACCCCAGCCTGCTGGGCAGCATGGACAGCACGACGGCGGCCGCGGCGGCCGCAGCCATGTACAGCAGCATGTACCGGACTCCCCCCGCGCCGCACCCCCAGCTCCAGAGGCCGCTGGTGCCGCGGGTGCTGATCCACGGGCTGGGGCCCGGCGGGCAGCCGGCCCTCAACCCCCTGGCCAACCCCATGCCCGGCACCCCGCATCCCCGGTGAAATGGCACCGCGGTCCCCGCAACGAGCCCTTCCCCTCCCCGTCCCCAAACAAGCCCCAGCACCGCAGAGGAGGAAGCGAGGGGAAGCCGAGGGGCAGGAGCTTCTGCAGGCAGTCACCGGCCACCGAGGGAGGCGATCAGTCAGAGCAGGGACTCTTGAACCGTGAACCCCGAGCCAAGCCCGTAAGTGAAACGACCACACGCGGGGGAAGGCGGGCAGAGCCGCGGGGCGACCCGCCGACCTCGGCTACTGCGAGGCAGGACTTGGAGCTTGGAGAGAGAGTTACGGAGGGGGTGGAGGAGGAGGAGAGGGAGAGGGAGCCCGAGCCCGCCGGAGAGACTAATGGCTGCGGAGGACAGAGGGAATGAGAGCGCCTCGACCCCCGACCGGCGGAGAAGACCGGGGGAACGGAGAACTTTGCACTGATTTTTCTCATTACCTTTTTTTTTTTTTTTTTTTTWTTGAAAAGTGGCATGCTCCCTAATGCGAACAGAATTGTACAGACCGAGTGCTGAGTGCTATATCATATTTATTATATGTCGTCCAAAAAAGGAAAAAAAAAATCACTTCTATACGTTAGTTTAAAACGAACAAACGTGGTTCTTCCCTACCCCTTTTCATGTCTTTTTGGATTCAGTAAAATAAATGCTTAGATGACAAAATATAGATTTTTTTTTTGTGACTGAAAAATCACAGGGGAAAAAAACAGAAAAGAAAAGAAATAAACTTTATCTTTTTTTAACAAACGCGAAAATTCAAGGTAGCTAATTTCCCCGTGACRAGAACTCAAGAAATTCGGAGTAGAAAAGGCAGATGCCACTTTTGTATTTTGAGTATTGTATTGAATATATTTTGAATTTTAGGCTTGTTGTTTCTTAACAGGCGCTGTTTTTCCCTATCTGTATTTTAAAGGAAAACCAAATTCCCCGCAGGTGTCGTGCCCTTTGCTGTTATTTTAAGCACTTGGGCAGGGCGGCAGCGGGCAGAGGCTCTGGCCCCTTGGGCGGGTGCGGCGGGGCCGGGCAGAGCTTGGGGACRCGGCCCCTGTCTCCGCACGGAGCTGGGACAGGCAGCGAGCGCCGGCGGTCGGGGTGAGTAACGAGGGGAAACAGGCAGGGAGGGCGGAGAGGTCCCGGCGGGCACGGAGCTCCCGAGCCCCGCTGGCCTTTGAACTTTATTGCTGTGTGTGCCCGTTCCCCCCCCGCAACCCCTTCCCCTGACAGGCAGATTCCCTGCCGAGCGCCTCCCTTCCCCATGCCGGCGTGGGCCGCCCGGTTGTCCCGTGGGGGCAGAGGAGGCGAGGGCCGGGACTGGGGGCTGTGACCTTCCGCTGGACTCTGGGGACGGCTCTGTCCCCAGCCTTTGGAGGCGAACACCCCCTTGCGAAATTAGAAAGTTATACAGCAATTACCTATAAAACATTCATAAAGTCCCATATTATCCTCTCCTCTGAGGGTTTGGCGGTTTTTTTCCCCCCCTCTCTATTTTTGCTCGTGGGTCCCCTTTCTTTTAAGATAGAAGGAAAAAAAAAAAACAAACAAAAAAGGAAAAGAGAAGCCTCCGGGCACGTTTATTTGGGCTTTGCTAATTAGCGAGCGGCTTGCTGATTTCTGTGCTAATAAATTCGCGTTAAAACCATATTGACCTTTGCCTTGATCTAACAAAAGGGGAGCGGGTCGGAAACGCCCACTTCGGTTTTTGCCCGTGTTGCGGCGGCTGCTGAGTATTCCCCCGCGCCTCCGCCGTGGCCCCCAAATACCCCCGCAGGAACGAACAGGAAGCAGGTCCCTGAGTAGCCAGGGCAGTCCGTTCGCCCCGCATCGCCGCCGAGGTTTTCCCGGGAAAGCCATCCTATGCGGGCTGGGGAAGGAGGTAGGAAATTTGGACTCGTCAGGTCCTTTTCCTTAGTCTAAGCAACAAATCTTTCACGAAAGGAGGAGATCCAGCTGGAAAAGCTAGTCCCAGCTCGTTGTTCTCGATGGCTCTCGATGGTTTGACTGCATAAACTCGCTGAAAAGTAGTTAGAACAAGAAAGGAAAGTTCATGCAAAATAGATGAGTGGCCCCCTCACGAGCAGGGCCTGCCGCGGGGCGCCCACCGGGGCAGGGAGTTTTTGGCGCTTTGGGAACGGCAGCGGACCGGAGCGAGAGAGGAGTGAGGCGGGGCTGGGAGGCTGCCGGTGCCGTGTCGGATGGTTTCTAAAMGGGCTGCCGAAGGAGAGGAGCGAGGAACCGCCACCTCCCGTGATACATATTTCCAGATTCAACTGAAAAGTGCGTGTAAATGGGAGAAGGTTTGGAGCAAGAATCGCTCTCTTTCACTGTTCCAATGTGGAAAGCAGGGCTGGAAACATAAGTTTGTCGTTTGTCCCGCTGCCCTTTCGCGCCGGGATAGAGCCGCCCCAAGGTTAGGCTGGCCCGAGATTGCCCGGCTGGGTCGCCTGGCTGCAGCCTTGTAAGAAGGCTCTGTTCCCGTTCGCTCCCGGGGCGCGGCGGCAGGACAAAGAGGCGGGCGCCGGGCCGGGATGAGCGGRGCCGACTCCCGCCGCCCGGTGCAGCGCGGTGAACGGCACAGCGCGGGGCCAGGCACCGCTGGCGGCTCGGCGCCGTTGTCTKCTCTGCCTTCCCTGCCGCGCCGGTCGTGTTTCTCCCCCTTTCCGTTCCCGGACAGCTGCTTTCGCCGCACCGCCCCAGACTTGGTGCCGAGCTGCTGAATTGCCGCAGTCCCGGTCCCTCTCCAGCCTTCGCCCKTGCCTAGGCCAGGACCTGCTCTCGGCCCTGGAAGTGGTTGTGAACAAAAAACCAAATTCATCTGTTCCCAGACGAACGGGACGGGATCTCTCAGCCTTAAACAGCGGGAAACACCAGCACCCGCTGGAAAAGACCTGGCTATTGGTGCACTGAGCACGGAAACGGCCCGAGAGGCTGGAGCAGCGCTGTCTGTACGCGAGGGACCGCGGCAGCCCGCGGGGTGGCCGAGAGTGAGTGCTCTCCCGGTGCCGGACAGCGGCCCCCAAGGAGCAGGGAGGCTCCGGCCCCTCCAGCGCGGGGACACCTGCGGAGCGCCGGCGGCTGCGGCCCCGCCCGCCCTCAGCACCGCGGACAGCTCCGGGAGGCGCGGGCGGGCCCGGCCCGCACCCAGCGTCCCRTCCTCTAGAACCTGGCAGCCGCCTTCCCCGGCGCTTGTCGACGGGGGATGGTGAAGATGGAGGAAGCTGGCACAGTCTCCTGCTGCCGAAGCGCTGCCTGGCTCGCCTCCCCGCCACCCAGCACCTGGCAGAGAGCCCCTGGRCTAGCCCGGGCCGGGCCCTTCGGCCCTGAGCGCGGACTGTGCTCCGAAGGCTTTGTGCCGAGTGTTTGAGCGCTGCCCGCGCACCGGCAGACGAGGTTAAAAACGGGACAGGGCCGCTCCCCTTCTCCCGTGGCGTGTCGCTCCGGATTGACACCGGCGCGTCCGCCGTGGGACCAAGGCGATTCTTTGTTCTTGATTCACCCTGTGCCCGGYTCCCCTTTAGTTTGTTTCTTCTGGGCCGTGTTTATGTGTTTTGCAGGTGGGCACGGCACGGGAGGCTCCTTCGAGGCAGTCCTGCTACACTCAGACAGGTTTCGGTGGCTCGCTGAGCTCCGGCTCTGGGCTGGGCCCTCCCGGCAGCMGAGCTGCGGGCAGGCTGCACCGCTGCCCCTGGCTGATGGGCTCTCTTGCGGSATGCAGCAGCAGGATCATGTTTAATTGCTTCTCCCTCTCGGGGGAYTAGCTTGGCCATGGTTAGAGCAGAAAGCGAGAAGGGTGACTCCGCTGGGCTGGGGTACAGGACGAGCGTTGCTTGTGCCGCTCCGAGGGTGCTAGCTTTGGCGCCGGTGTAGCAGCTGAGTGCTCCGGACCCTAATCCTCCTCCCCAGCCGGGCAAGGGAGTCCGGCTCAGCCTGGAAACCAGTAAGCAGCACCGAGCGGGATTCCCTGCCGTGCCCGATACCCCGGCTCCGTTCAACACACCGCCCGCATGTAACGCTCTATTGGCGCTCCGGGGCTTGACGATCGCTCCTGCAGGCTTTGGTGTTTCTCGTGAGGGYGGGTTTTTAACTTTTGTAATTTTCTGCCTTTCCAGAGTTTGCCTTTCTCCAAATTCACACCACGTCTGTGCAAATGTCTACTGACGTTGTAAGTCACCCAAAGTCCTTATTGCAGCCCACTCGAACCCCGGCTCAAGCCCAGGGCGTGGAGTGAGTGCAGCTAGGCTGAACTCACCTGTGGAAAGAGCAAAAGCCCACATAATGTAAGAAATATTCCCAGGCCAGAGGTGGCGAGCATGGGCGGCAAATAACCGTTTTAGRTTGGAATTACACATTTTCCCCCGTTTCCATTATATCTTGCTGCTAAGCCCACGTCTCCCGCCGGTGATACCACCGGGTGTTCTTCCCAGTAGCTGTTTATTGGCGAGCTCTGTTTGCGAGAAAACGGGGGTACAGAGAACCTGGTCTACGAGGCGGCCCTGTGCCCTCGTCCCGTGGGAGATACAGCCTGCTCTATTTCAGGGATAGTATCGAAATGACCCCCGCGATCCCTGGAGAGGCACAGCTAATGGGGACGGAGACCCCCGAAGGCGCAGTTTCCACGTGCCCCCGTTTCATAAAAAAGCCGCAAACTTGTTTCCTCCCTTGGGCTGCTCCAGCCGTTCAAGGCCCGTGGGGCAGCCGGAGCCCGCGCCTGTCTCTGCGTGTTTCCAGCCGGAGAGCAGGTCCAGCCAAGCGCCCATCGCATTAAAACTGCCTTTCCATATTCATATGCCCTATTTTTCACAAGTCGCTTCTATTAATGGAAGCGCACAAACGCCGGTCCTTAAAATTTGCGGATTTCAAAGGAAYCCAAGTGAGACACTTTGCGCTGGCAGCGATGGATGCGGGGCGCGGCGGGACCCCAGGGGCTCCCCCGCCACAGCCGCGCCCTCCCCGGTGGGAGCTGCGCTCAGCCGGGGGCACAGCCGCAGGTTGCCGTCCCGGCGGCTCCCGCCGCATCCCCCCACCCTGCTCCACCGGGCCGAGCCCCGCGGGATCGGCGCTCCCCTCCCTTCCGGCCCGGGCACACCAAAGTTGTCCCAGACTGTCTTGTTCCCTCGTCTCTGAGAGCCCATGTAGGGCGCTTTAATTGCCACATTTTCAAACCGAGGTAATGGTGGGGATGTCTTAGTAATTACCTTAATGAGATAACACCTTTCCTTCCCTGAACCTACTCATTATCACACTTCTTGTTCAAATTCCAACTACAAAGAGCTATACTTGTAAAAAAAAAAAAAAAAAAAAAAAAAAAAAAAAAAAAAAAAAAAAAAAAAAAAAAAAAAGCAAAAAAGGAAAAGAGGGGGAGAGAGCTCTGAAATTTGTTGGAGGTCTTGTTCCCTTAAAACAAGCACCTTCCATGGATCTTTAATATATGAACAGAGAACTGTACCCAGTTCTGGGAAAGGTTGGCTAGAAGTAAACTAAACATCTGGGGTACCCCTTAATTATTCTTGGTTGGTGTCTTTAGTTTGACCTGTAGGGATGTGAGGGTGTCAAAGTGATGAATTTTAAGATGYTGGACTGTGAAGACGTGCAGCTGCAAGACTGATGGGTTTAGGAAGGGAATGGTAACAAGGTTAGCTGCATGTGAAGTGTGAATTGAGATTTTTGCAAAGAGA